CATAACACTCTTACCACATTACTAGGTTAACATAATCACATTACATGATTGGCATAATCACATGTGATTGCCCATTGACCTATTTTGACTAGTGTTACAATCTTGGTTTTTAACCTATTTAGATCCTCCACCTCCTTTGGATGAATAGTCGCCCGCCAATCTTTAATTTTCTTCTTTAAATGCTTAAATTTCACAGCAAGCAAATAGTCAGCGGTACCGAATTCGTGAAAGTGAAGCCATCCATTAGCCACCATATTTGAAAATTCGTCCCTCTCCATCCATGAGTTGAAAAAACGAAATGGTAGGGGTCTGAAATCAACTGTTGTAGATGAGAGAAGAACTGGGCAGTGATCTGACGTCTCCTTGGGGAGGGCAATGAAAACGACATTGGGGTGATGAGATAAGAACTCATAACAAACTAAAAATTTGTCTAATTTGCTTAATTTCATTTTGTCATGACAGAAATAAGTGAACCGGTGACCTCCCATTTTAAAATCACTCAATCCACCTTCGTGAATGAACTTACTGAAACCCATTGCAGTTCGTGCACAGAAATTTGAGTTGAAACATTCATCATCCCTACGAACAGCATTGAAATCACCCATTAATATCCAAATTCTACCCCTTCGTTCTTTGAGATTTAGAATATCCTCCTACAATCTCTCTTTATCGTGTATTGTAACATCCCAAAATTCATGGCTAAAAATTCCATTTTTAGTTAATTATAAAAACCATTAGTCTGAAAACATCGATAGTATCATCCCATACCATACTCAAAAACCAATATCTCAATAACCAAAACATGTCATAAGGAAACAACATCAGAGTACAACTCCCAAAGATCTCATATGCGGAAAATCATAGTGTGATGCGATGCGATCATGCCGGCTCCTTTCCTTTCGAAGAAAAAGTACCTGAAACCAAAACTGAAAACCGTAAGCACGAAGCTTAGTGAGTTCCCCCATCATACCACATACCATACACCATAAGCATGCTGCCTAGCATATCCGGGAGTTGGCCTACCCCTTCGGTCTCTTTCAACCGTTACTGCCTAGAATATTAGGGTGCTATCCTACCCCTTCGGTCTCTTTCAACCGGTAACTGCCTAGCATATGAGGGTGCTGGCCTACCCCTTCGATCACTTTCAACCGGTAACTGCCTAGCATATCTGGGTGCTGGCCTACCCCTTTCGGTCTCTTTCAACCGGTTACGAGGTCTATTTCTCCCCTACCACTACCACATAATAGCATACATAATCAATCATAAACATACTGTTGGGTATATCTGGGTGCCCAACCTACCCCTTCGGTCTTATCGACCGGATACGGGCTCTATTTCACCCCTACCACTATCACATAATATCATAGCATACTAGCACATAAATCATAACAGATAGTGGCATACCATATAATTATTACAAATACAATCATCTAACTACAAACTCCTACTAGTGGGTCGGCCTTGGTGCCTTAGACCCACTGCTACCGGGAAGGTAACTCACCTCGAATGCTGTAAAGTAGCTGAACAATCCCCGACTCTAAAATCAACCCAACTCAAACCCTTACACATAAAAGATTTCCTTAATTACCCTTTCATACTCATAACCCCTTAAGTGTCAACTTTGGTCAAAGTCAAAGTCAAAGTCAACACCCTGGTCAACGTCAAAGTCAACATTCCGAGTTGACTGAACTCGTCGAGTTGGCCCTTCAACTCGCCGAGTTCCATAAATCATAAAATCATGAAATCGCGATCCAACTCGTCAAGTTCTTCCATGAACTCGTCAAGTTCTTCCTTATCAATAGAATCGAGACTTTTCAAATCAACTCGTCGAGTCCATCCTTGAACTCGTCGAGTTCCTCAGTCTGTTACCCCTTCTTAACTCATTAAGCTATTATTCTTCAAACTAAGGCATCATCTTCTGGATCCAAGATGGAAATGCGTCTAGAAGGGTGAAGTTTTCAACTTTACCCATTAAGGACCTCTCCCAACACATAAAACTTAAACCCTAACCCAAAAGGGCTTAGATCCAACTCCAAAAGCCATCAAAACTTCAAGATAGACCATGAGGTCAAAGACCTGGACTCTAGGGACAATTAGGTCACGTAAAGTTCCCATATTTAATTGCATGCATGACCTACTAAGGCTCAAAAAGACCAAAAAGATCGTCTAAAAGTTGCATGGGACTTCCATGGCCATAAAGTTGGCACCTTTATGCTATGAAGTCCCCTCAAGACCGTAGATTTGAAGGGTTTGCCCAAGTGGGACGTCCAAATCCCAACCATCAACATACTTGGACCAAAATATGAAAGAAAGCATCCTAAAACTAGATCTAAGCATGTCATGGACAAGGTTGAAGCTTTATACCTCAGATGATTCAGAAATGGAGCCCAACTTCTGCATCTACTCTCCTCCCACACGTCCTTGCTCCTCCTTCAAGCTTCTTCTTCTTCAAACTCACCAAGAATGCACAAAGTTAACTCACAATCACCAAAAATGGCTTAGGATTTCATGATTAGGGTTTTGGACAGTGGAGGCTGGAAATGAGGCTAACTTATGGGGGTTAAGGTGTTTAAATAGGGTGCAAAACCTTGAAAATTAGGGTTTCATTCTACCAGCCTACTCGTCGAGTTGAGGCCTCTCAACTCGTCGTGTAGGTTTCTTAACCCGCATCCCAATTCATCCCTACTCGACGAGTCTGGGGCTCCCAACTCGTCGAGTTTCTCTACAAAAGTGAATAATTTATAAATTTAAATACATACCAGGAACCAGGTGTTCCATGTATGGCCTGAGGGCCATAAATATTAGCTACAACAACCGGCTTATCAATTTCGGCCCAATTGCCAATGTTGATCAGACAATAATGAGATTTGATAACCTCCGATGAAGTGAACACAAGAGGATCCCAAATATTGATTAGGCCACCTGATCTACCTATTGTGTGGACCCTAACTGCTTCACATTGATCAGATCCCCAACAAGTTGCCACATTTATTCTGTCTACGTCTGCCAATTGAGTTTCCCGAATACCCATGAATGAAATGTTTTGTTGTCTAACAAGTCTTCAAACCCAAGAGACCTTATGATCTTCACCGATGCCACGAATATTAAGAGTCAAGAGATTCATTGGCCAACAATATTCTCTCCATCTTCGCCTATAATCTCTGCTAGAATGGGGTCACCCATTGCAATTTCGAACCAATCTTATTCCTAATTTTGATTTTCTTCTAACTTTCATTGAGTTCCTCAAAGTCAGAGGATTCCAATCCATTGGGGTCAATATTTGAGCTCGCTGGAGGGGGTTCACTGTTTAGGTCAAGAGGTGCAGGTATTGGAGACGGTATAACCTGAGAAGAAATGATTTATGTGTTAACAGGATCGATGATGAATTCCGGCGAATGAGCTCTTCTCTTCTTATGTGAAACCATATTGTGTGGTTGAGATGGATCATTATCACTTTTGCACTTGGTTGGGACTTCTAATGGGCCATTGGGTGGAAATGGACCAAACCATCCAAATGGGATATTATCAACCTTGTTACTGATGGACCCATCATTTAAGCACGTGGAAGAATCCACTGGTTGGATTATTAAGTTACTAGCGGTAGGAGTTAAAATATCCTCCTTGGTACCCGACCCATTCCCATCAACTGCAGAATCGTCTACCGGATCAGACAACAGGATATCATCCTTTGCAAATGTTTAATTTTCCAGTTAATTATTCAAAAAACCATTCCCTCCATCTTCATCCGGGATGATTTCCCCTTCCTCGAATCCATTTTGATCTGATTCTACGGAGGATTTATATATCATGCTCTATCTATCTTTAGTGCCACGTTCTCTTTATCACCTATAGCCTCCGAATCAGACATGTATGACTGCTTCTCATCATCAAACTCGAAAAGTTTTTCAAATTCGACAATGCCAATCATTGTAAACTTACCTCCAATTTCTACAGAGACTTCCTTATTGATGTTTGTCATTCGAATTGTGAGGATACCAAGTTTAATACATGAAAGATCAACACTGTGCTTGAAATCATCAAATTGGGCAATATTTTTTTCCATATTTAGCAGTGATCTTCTCCAAATTTGGTTCACTCCAGTTTCTAATTGGCAGACCAGCAATCTTTATCCATGCTATTCTTTCAAATCTTGTGTTTGTTGGTTCCCCAATCGAGCGACACCTGAACATCTCTTTCCATACCGCTTCATTCATCAGAAATTCACAAACAGATTCCGGTCCATCGAATCTCAGGAGGATTCCTAAGCCTCCTGTGTATTTCACCTCTACCCACTTATCATAGTGGTTCGACAGAAGTGCCAACATGTGACATAGGTGTAGTAATGACTTGGTTTCCCCTGTCAACACTTTCTTTCCCATCCAACGTTTCCTAGATTCCTCTTCTATCAATTGAATCGGAGGTGTCGGCGCTTGCAAGGGGGTTATTGGTCCTGCTTTGTGTTTCACAACCTCGTCAAAAGATCTTTCGTCTCTAGTATTTCTGGCGGGGTATGAAGCGTTATTATAGAAGGTTGGGAGTGGTTTTCTTACGGGAATTGGATTGGGTTGAGCCACCTTTATTTTGTGCTTCTCTACATTAATCTCCAACATGTTGTTCCTGCACCTGGTTCCATTTAATTGTTGTTCCAATCCCCTCACGTTTGGCACATCAACAAATTTTATGAATCCAAAGTTTTTCCCTTTCTTTCCCTTCTTCTCGCCAAAGTAAATGTCAATCAACTTCCCGAATGGTGAGAATATTTCCTTAAACTCAGCCTTCGTTACACCTGTGGGAATATTTGTGACGTAGAAGTTTATTACATTGTTGTTCGCCGGAGTTTTCCTTCTTTGAGCGTGCGTCCATCCGACTTCCCAAGGGAGCATTTTTTTTCTCAGTGAATCTATGTACTTGTGTTTTCATGTTTTATGATTTTAAGTGTCATCATAATATTTTTTAGATGTTGCAACTCATACATATTATAAGATCACATTTGAACCGTTTAATATATATATATATATATATATATATATATATATATATATATATATATATATATATA